AATCAATTCACGTTTGGTAACGTTCCGGGTTGCTAAAGAATTCGGGGCGTTACAGCTTGGTATCAGAGCAATGGTTTACTTTCCTGTAGATTTTCAAAATTTAAAAATTTTGAAAAAAAAAAGCTATATATATTTAATCTTTTTTGGGAGATTCATTGTTTGAGTTTTCTTGCTTTGAGTATTTGTAAAACTAAGAGGCTTTGTCAAAAAGGCCTAAACTGTCTAACGCGAGCTTGGGATTTAAGCGGTCCACTTGTGACCCCCCTCCTCACCTGGAAGCCTTTTTAGTTGCACGTTATTCAAATCGATAAGACGAAAAATAATGTTTTAAACCCACTTCAATTTTAGAAATTCTTTCATTTTAGAAACTTTTATACCAAAAAAAAAAACAATTTTACAAAAATTTATAAGTTACGAGATCCATGGAATCCAATGCTCATCAATCTATCACTGTCCAATATTTTAAGATATGTAAGGATGAAGAATATTTTTATTGATATTACCATTTATATTTCAGTGCATACTAGTTAATTGCATGACTTTTTTTTTCTACACGTCATTTTACTTTAAGGGAGAATGTTAATTAAGCAAATGATTATTTTGTGTAGGATTGTATGATTAGTAAAGCAATTCTTATATGACTAGAACCTTAGTGCATAACACTTGGCCTTAGCATAACATACACAAAAGACATGACTAAATATAGAAAAACCTTTAGGAAGAGTGTAGTATGGTTGAGCAGTTCTTAAGATAAATTACTTTTACTTCAAGGAAATGGCATGACGACAACAAGATCAAGCTACTATGTTCAGAGATTTACTAAGGGCAGTGCAAGACTTGGGCAGGCAGCAGGCTCAAGCGGCACCTCATAATGCAACAGGAGGTGCCAACACCATGAGCTCAATTGTTGAACAGTTTCGTCGCTTTAAACCTCCGTCCTTTGATGGTAAAGGTGATCCTTTCGCAGCTGAGGAGTTGCTGAGAAGACTTGAAGGGATCTTCGAGTAAATGAACTGCAATGATGCTCAAAAGGTTTCTTGTGCAAAGTTTATGTTGACTGATGATGCTGGACATTGGTGGGAGTCTGAAACACGTACTAGAACTACAGAACAACAACGTAACCTCACTTGGAACCAGTTCAAGGAGTCGCTGATGGGTAAATATTTTCCCCAGTCTCTGAAAGATCAAAAGGAGGTAGAATTTCTCCAGCTCACGCAAGGAAATTTGCCACTTGGGGAGTATGAAAGAAAATTTGAACGACTTTCTAGGTATGCACCGCATATGGTGAACACTGAGCTGACAAAGGCTAAAAGGTTTGAGATGGGGTTAAGGCCAGAGATCAAGGGAATCATGGCAGCCCAACAGTATACTACTTATGCAGAGGTTGTACGTCGAGCATAAGCAACCTCTAATGGCTTAGGACTGGAAAAGAAAACCCAACCCAGCACCGAGTCGTCTATAAAGAGAAAGTGGCAAGGTCATGATAAGGAGAAAGGTAGGAACCAGAATAAGAAAGGAAAGATTGGGTCAGACTCAAATAAAACTTTTCCTCAATGCTCCAATTGCAACAAGCGACACTTGGGTGAATGTCTTCAGGGAAAGGGAGTATGCTACATTTGTGGTAAGAGTGGTCATTTCCTCAAAGAATGTCCAGAGAAGAAGAGAGAAGGTGACCAACTTAAGAAGGGAAAGGCCAGAGTATTTGCTTTGACAGGAGAAAAGGAGGATCAGAACACAGACGTAATAACAGGTATGTTACCAGTATCTGACGTACCTGCTATTGTCCTTATGGATTCTGGATCCACTCATTCATTTATTTCTACAATTTTCATGGATAAGATTGGGAGTGAATTCGTAAAAATGAATAGCATTTTAGAAGTTAATACACCCTCAGGCGAAGTGGTTAATACCAATCAAATGGTTAAAGATGTTAAGTTAGAGATCGAAGGAAAAGTACTAAAGGCAGATTTGTACCTTTTGAGGATGAAAGACTTTGATGTAATTTCGGGTATGGACTGGTTGGGTAGAAATTATGCAACCATCTTATGCCATAAGAAGAAAGTTTTATTTCAAAAACCTGGAGAAAAAAATTTTCGATTCTTTGGAACAAAAATTGGGACCCTACCTCGATTGGTATCTGCAATGAAAGCACAAAAGATGTTGAGAAAGAATACTTGTCAAGGATTTCTATTGAATATAATTAGTAAGCCCCAAACCGAAAGAAAAATAGAAGATGTACTAGTAGTTAATGAGTTTGTGGATGTTTTTCCTGAGGATTTACCTGGTATACCGCCTGATAGACAAGTAGAGTTCACAATTTACTTGACCCCTGGGGCAGCGCCAATATCTAAGGCTCCTTACAGGATGGCACCAAAAGAATTACAGGAGTTGAAGATACAACTACAGGAATTATTGGATAAGGGTTTCATCCGGCCAAGTGTATCCCCATGGGGAGCGCAGGTATTGTTTGTTAAAAAGAAAGATGGGTTAATGAGGATGTGTATTGATTATAGAGATATTAATCATTTGACTATAAAGAACAAATATCCACTCCCAAGGATAGAGGATCTTTTTGATCAATTGAAGGGTGCAAAGGTGTTCTCAAAAATAGATTTGAGATCAGGTTATCACCAACTCAAGATAAAGGATTGTGATATTCCTAAAACGGCGTTTAGAACACGGTATGGGCACTACGAGTTTACGGTGATGCCATTTGGTTTAACCAATGCACCAGCTGTGTTTATGGACTTGATGAACCGAGTTTTTCATCCATATCTAGATCAATTCGTTATAGTCTTCATTGACGATATATTGGTATACTCAAAGGATAAACAGCAACATGAAGAACAGTTGAGAGTGGTATTGAATACTCTTCGAAAGGAGAAGTTGTATGCTAAATTCAAAAAATGTGAATTCTGGCTGGATCGTATTGACTTCCTTGGTCATGTGGTCACTGCTCAAGGAATTGAGGTAGACCCAGCTAAAGTTGGAGCTGTAACAAATTGGTCTAGACCAACCAATGTAGGCGAAGTTCGTAGTTTCTTGGGTCTGGCTGGCTATTACTGGAGATTTATTGAAAGATTTTCTAAGATAGCTGGTCCACTGACACAATTAACTAGAAAGGGAGTGAAGTTTCAATGGTCAGATAAGTGTGAAAGTAGCTTCCAAGAACTGAAACAGAGATTAGTTTCAGCGCCAGTATTGACAATACCAGACGGCTCAGAAGGTTTTGTTATATACAGTGATGCTTCTAAACAAGGTTTGGGGTGTGTGTTGATGCAACATGGAAAGGTTGTTGCTTATGCCTCTAGACAATTAAAACCATATGAGCATAATTATCCAACACATGACTTAGAACTTGCAGCAGTAGTTCACGCATTAAAAATATGGCGTCACTATATCTATGGTGGAAAATGTGAGATATACACTGATCACAAAAGTCTCAAATACTTCTTTACTCAAAAGGAGTTAAATATGAGACAGAGGAGATGGTTGGAATTGGTCAAAGACTATGATTGCACCATTCTTTACCATCCAGGTAAAGCCAACGTAGTTGCTGATGCTCTAAGTAGAAAAACAACTGGAAAGTTGACAGCTCTACCCACTCAAGAACAGTTAATTAAAGAAATTGAAAATTTGAGGCTAGAGGTTGTTGCACCTTCTGTACAGGAAGCAATTGGTGCAGCTCTAATGGTTCAACCCACTCTTAGAGAACGGATTAGAGAAGCCCAAAAGAATGACCCATTTTTGTGTAAAATTATGGCTAAAGTTGGGACAGATAAGTGAAAGGGATTTGCAATAACTGAGGACAAGGTACTTATGTATAAAGGCAGATTATGTGTTCCTAAGGATGAGGGATTAAGGAAAGAAATTCTTGAAGAAGCACATTCTACTGCTTATACAGCACATCCAGGCAGTACAAAAATGTATCGAGACCTTCGAAATACATTTTGGTGGAGAAACATGAAAAGAGGGATAGGACTTTTTGTAAGTAAATGTATGGTATGTCAGCAAGTGAAAGTAGAACATCAGAGACCTTCAGGGTTGCTTAGACCACTAGATATACCGGAGTGGAAATGGGAACACATTACCATGGATTTTGTGGTAGGATTTTCGAGATCCGCTAAAGGAAACAGTGCTATCTGGGTAATAGTGGATCGTCTTACAAAGTCAGCCCACTTTCTTCTAGTCAAGATGACATTTACCATGGAATAATATGCACAGGTTTATGTTAAAGAAATAGTCAGGTTACATGGGGTCCCCATTTCTATTATTTTAGATAGAGACCCGAGATTCACGTCAAAATTTTGGAAAAGTCTACAAAACGCTATGGGGACAAAATTGAAATTTACTACTGCATATCACCCACAGACTGATGGACAATCTGAAAGGACAATTCAGACACTCGAAGATATGTTAAGAGCGTGTGTACTAGATCTCGGTGGCAGCTGGGAAACACATTTGCCTTTAGTAGAGTTTGCCTATAACAATAGTTTTCAAACAACTATAGGCATGGCACCTTATGAGGCATTATATGGTAGGAAGTGCAGATCACCTATCTATTGGGATGAGGTTGGAGAAAGAAGAATCCTAGGACCCGAGATTGTTGATCAAACAGTACGAGCTGTGGATAAGATTCGAGACAGAATTAAGGCTGCACAGGATAGACAGAAAAGCTATGCTGATAGAAGGAGAAAAGATCTTGAGTTCCAAATCGGTGACAAAGTATTTTTAAAAGTAGCTCCAATGAAGGGAGTACTTAGATTTGGAAAGAAAGGAAAATTGAGACCAAGATTCATTGGACCATTTGATGTATTAGAAAGAATTGGAGATGTGGCATATAGACTGGCATTGCCATCAGAACTTTCAGCAGTACATAATGTTTTTCACGTATCAATGTTGCGCAAATACTTACAGGACCCTATTCATGTGATCAACCATCAAAATTTAGACGTACAACAGGATTTAACCTATGAAGAAATGCCAATATCAGATTCATCCCCCAACTCAATAGATCTGAGTTTGAAAAATCATGGCATGAATCCCAAGGTCGTCGAAACACCCCCCTACACATTGAATCAGGGTCTGGGACCATCACCAATGATTCCAGAAGGGCCGAAAACCCTGGGGGTGGTAGAGATTTCATCCGAATCGCCCGAAATTGACAGATCAGATCCCGAGGGGCCAAAAATTGATTTTTCAATTAATCCTTCCACAGAACTCAAATAGGGACACGCGCCTTACCATCAGATTACCCATGAAAAGCGAACCTTCGACTAAAAATTCATCCAATTCAGACTCCGGACGCGCCCTCACCGGCGATCGCAATTTTCGGCTAGTCGCTCGGAAAATCACAGATTCCGGCTAATCCTGAGCTTGTTTTGGAAAACGGAACATACCGTGATGATCAGCATGAAATTCCGCATCTGCCTGTGAAAATCATAATTTTCTGACACCGTTGGAAAATCGTCGCCGGTCAACGGCCGGCGCGTGGTGGTCACGCGCCGGTGACACTTCACCAGAATGTGGGGAATTTTGTTACGGACCCAATTCCATCATCGGTTTTTTCACATGAGGCCCAGACAGTGCTCAACCAGGGCCGAAAGACCTATGCTACTGCAGTTTCTGGCCGTCAGGGCCTGTCTCAAGCTGAACGGAGTTCACGAAAGTCGTTTGCATCGGTTATACAGGGTATAGATGACTCTTCCACTGCTGGGTTTTCTGCTAAAGAACCCTTTATACATATGGGTGAGCCGGCAATAGTTTTGACTGAGTCCGAGGAGGCTACACTCGCTGATCCTTACAAGTATACACTTGTGGGGAAATTTCCACATCGCAAGCCAACCATGAGGAAGGTACGTGAGATTTTTTCTATGTTTGGGTTCCATGGTTGTTTCGAGGTGGGATTGATCGACACAACACACATTCTTATACACCTTACACATGAGGAGGATTACAGCAGGCTTTTTCTTAAACCTTCATGGTATATTGATGGTTGTCTGATGAGAATCCTTAAGTGGACATGTGACTTTACACCTGAGCAAGAGACTCCGATAGTTCCTGTATGGGTATCGTTCCCTCTGCTTCCAGTACATTTACGTGCGAAGGGGTTCCTTTTTGCCTTATCGGGGGCAATAGGAATGCCCTAGAGAATTGATGAGGCCACCACCGACTTGAGACGACCTAGTGAGGCAAGGGTGTGCATTGAGGTGAACTTGGGGCATAAGTTGCCCGACAGGGTTTGGATTGAGCGTGCTGGTAACCGTGGCTTCTGGCAGACAGTTATCTATGAGAAGCGGCCAATTTTTTGCTTTTCTTGTAAACACTTGGGTCATTCTTATGATCAGTGTACTACGGTTCCTCCTCCTCCTCCTGCAGTTGTTGCGCACCCCCCTGTTCGGCCCCCTATTACTAGGACTGATAAGGATAAGGGCAAGGTAACGTTTGTGGAGCCAAAGAAACAGTGGGTTCCAGTTTCAGTAGTGCCTTCTGTGCTTCCCACTACTACTACCGTAGTTGTGACAGAGTCAGAATCTGCATCGGCTGTTCCTACCTCTACTCGTATCACAGTTGATCTAGAGGTACCTCCGTATATTCATTCAGTTGCTGAGCCTACTCCAAATGCTCCTATCGAGGTACCCACTTCTCCTATTATTACTTCCATAGCTCCTATTCCCACAGCTACTACTGATGTACCCCCTGAGCCGACGCATATGAGTTCTCCACCATTGAAGACACACACAGATGGTACTCAGTCAGCGTAGGGATCAGGTATCGGGAAAGTTCCTCAAACCACTCTTGCACAGGGGTTGTTGGCTGAGATCAGCTCAGAGCGACATGGTGTCAAGCATATGTTGATTGATCACTTTAAGAAGGACCATGGAATGAAAGTTGGATCTACCATGAGATTTGCTATTGAGGACTTGGTTTTTAAGCTCTTTGGAGAGGGACCTTCTGTGAGTAAGACTCCTACGCATACACCTTTACCTAGTCCTTCTATCACAGCTCCTACACACAATAAGGTGAAAGAACATATACAGAGAGACATGGATGG